AACTTAAGAAACTGCTTTCATGAAATAACAATACGGAATTTGTGTGCGATTCAAGCGTCCACAACGACAGTTGACTGCAATTCCCGAAAGGCGAGTCAATCAATCGACACAACCAGGACAGCTAGTAGGTAAGTGTTGATTTATCGTGAAAGCCCATCATTTGGAGCAGGCAATAGATGTCCTGTTCGATGGGACTGGATTAAGTGTGCCTATGACTTTCGGTCCCATCTTCCTCTGTGCTGTTCGACCGATTCACTGATTTCTGCTAATGTTTGAAGGAGGACAGCTGTATACTAACTGAGATATGGGAATTCATGCGATAAACAGCGGATGTCTACGGTTCTCCTGTGAATAATTCGAGGTAATCAAAATTTGGTGTATCACGGGACAAAAGAGGTGCGTCATGAAGAAATCACTCACTATAATAGATCAGAGATAAACTAGTGCTACTGGCCTCAGCCTCGGTGCCTTGCCTATCCGAGGGCCTAAATGAATAAGTCCTGTTTCATCATGGCGGTAATGAAATAAATATCATTTCAAGTCTGACCAAAAGCGTATTCAAGAGTTGCATTTGCGTTGAAGGCAATCTTGCCGTATCTCCGGCTTGTGTCTGTGGCACCGAATCGTGAGATACACACTCGGAGCGTGGTCCCCAAGGTGCTTGTCCGCCTAATTTACTTGATGCGAAAAACTTCATCAAATCGATCGACGACAGCTGATTTGCATTACTATCAATCTATCCTAGGTCCTTAGGTTATCACACCTTCAAAGAGGCGAAAGTTCCGTCCTTCGAATTTAAAATGCCGACAGTTAAGCTCAGTTAGTAATACTTTACTGCTCAGCTACTCTAAGGTTTTTGAAGATGGTTAGAGATATCATTACAATGTGATTTAGAAGTAACTGAGCCAGAGGACTTTTTCCTGTTATCGTTTGGAGGTACACGCATTCTACAGAGACCAGATGGCTGTTGCGGCCCACCCATCTGGTTGAATAGCGAAATCTCCACACTAATAACAGTTAGCCACTCAACTCGGGTGCGTTAGGTTGTTTTACCGTGTGCCGATCAGAAAGCACAAACCGTGGAAGTCCTTTTCAACCATATTCTAATGAGCTTCAATCCTGAGCAAACCAACGTTTGCTCACTGGAATCAGAAATTCAAATAGGGTGACTACTCAAAAGCGATTGTGGTCGTTTTTCGGCCTGATAGAACACTACATATGCTAGTCATTTTGAGGAAGATGAGTGCGTGACTGGAGAAAATTACCGACTTCTCATTGAGGGAGAGGCAATGGAAGGACTGTATTTAAGGATAGTTAGAGAGGGCATTATTAGATTAAGGAAGCATCTGACAGCTAAATTTAACTGGGCCATCACCGGTACTGCGGTCGCCGCCATTAGTCAACTTGGATCAGTTAGCTCCGTTCCAAAACAGAAGTTCCTAACTTAAAACGGAGGTCATACACTTCTTGAAGATTTTGCAAACTATGACAAAGATGCTTAGAAACATTCCTTGCGAATCTAATCCAGACTGATGATCGTTGCTAAGGCTTTTGCAGCACAAACAGGTTTCCTCTGGGGAAGAACGCCTTTGATTCTATTGAACATCATTCATGCCAGCGAGTTTCCTTACTGACCCTGTCCACATGACAAAACGAGTTTAGGCACTGAGTGTGACCCGGCAGAGGTTCTCGGGGAACAGCTGAAACAACCACTTCTTCGATAAAGCAAGGTGACTAAGTCAATACCAGCGTACGGCGTTAAATGGAAGTTTCACACAGAACTTTGTACACTTCTGATCTGGAACATGATTGGTTGGATGACTATCAGGAAGGTCAGATTCCTGAAAGCAACCTCAGAACGCCCGGAACCTACTGCTCCACCAAAAACTCAACTGGAAAGCCGGCAAGCATCCAGGCCAGTCAATCATTCAATCAATTCAGTAAGACCTGATGAGTGTTCTCTGCGCCACAGAAGCACGACCGAATGTGATCAGCGTTCAGGCTTTTCATAGAGGCACGATCGATGTTGATAGGTGTTCATTAACGCCTATCAGACAGCCTGGATCAATGTCAGAAAGTCCCCTTTAAATAGCGTGGGGACGTTGTAACTTTTGCACTCTCACTCACTCGCTTGTTCGGTATACAGCTGTTGTGTTCCCTTCTGTGAGTCTTTTCTCTCCGACACTACGTACTGGAGCGGGTCAGCAGCAGATACCACAGATTGACGAATCAGCAGATATAACAATGACCCATTCGAAGAGCACAGGACAAACCTTTACCGAATCGTTAGAAATGTACACGGGTATCATAGAGCGTTGAGCATCCAAGGGTAAATTACCGGCATTGCACTGCAAATCGGGTGTTACGGTCAGGTAAAATACACTGAACAATATGTAAATGGAAAGCTGGACAAATTAGCCTGCACACCGAAAATGGGAAATCGCAAGCAAACGGTAATCGAATGGGATAGAGAGAGTTAGCACATGTTTGACCACCCCATTCAGGACAGGTAATCACATGCATTTGTTCTAGCCTAATCCAGACAAAGACATCGCTGTGGAATAGGTATCAAATGAAACGTAACCTTGAAAGCTAAACTGAATAGCTTCATTTGAATATTTCCGTTTTGACGAGCAACTTCACCCAAATGCATTCACACACTAAAGGGATCTTTTCACATCAACGAGGTGTGCGGCATATGAGGATCACCTGACATCGAATATTATAAACCAGAGATTCAGCTGAAATTCACTCGAGTCTCCCATTAATATGATCCAAACATGCGAAAGGGGACGCACTTTTGAGCTAGTTAACCAATTTAAGGACGTAAAATCCGAAAAACTCCATAGCACGTTCCCTCTTGGAACATGTCACTGTTTATCGGTGCACCGCACACCAAAACAGAGTGGGTGGTGTTTGCGACTTTATTGAGAAAAATAATGCCAATTCACACACAGTTCACCTATACTAGTGAAGTCTACCGACACCAGAATACGGAACTGTAATAGGATCTCCTCTGACTCCTCTCACAGGAGGTCCAGTCATAGGTAAACTAAAAACTCAGAACGCCCAGTGAGCAACAGGCGTTGTATGGATGTTACGTAGATGGTATGACAATGCCAGCCCGACCGACGTCTTTGATTCAACTCGGATTTTCCTGAATTCGACATTCTACAGAGGATTATATGGGACTACACAGTGCAGTGCACAGACCAGGTCAATGATTATCGGTCATACATGAATGGTAAGCACTTCAAAAGACCAATTTGTTTAACATCAGGTGGCAATTTCTACAACAGATAATGAGCTGAATTGGACAATGAAATCCGATTCAGTAAGTAGGCCATCCATTTTTTGGGTGCTCCTGCAGGAAACCCCGGCCAATGAGAGACAATCTGTTGGTTTGTTTTCTGGTGAATTCCTCTAATCCGACTTATTGGCACGCGGTCCATCGCACGTATGAACTGTATGACAAGAAAGCGCAGGAACCCAACTAACTGCGTGTGCCAATATCACTAATGCCCCGCACGTTTTCCGGAAACCTCACTAGCCGTGGAGATACGTTGCACCATTCCAACCCCCAAAATAGTGAAGAGACACGGTTGGTTCCACAACTGTTCCCCTGAAAGCAATCTCCAAAAAGCTACTGAAATGTCACACCCAAGTACACTTGGGGTAATTCATTATCCTCAACAAAGTGTTCATCTAACGAATGCCTCTACAAGCTTCTTTACGTCCCCACAAAAACATTAACCGACAGCAATGATTGAACTCAAAGCTAATGAAACAACTTGTTGAATTCTATGAGTTGGAGCAAAGTAGTGCGAATCGGAGGAAAAGCGGCCTCATTTTGCGTATTTTCACCTGACTATTCTACCTGTGTCTGGGCTTCGGATGACACATGACCGGCCATGTCCTAATGAATAACACACTCCGTCGGTGTACGGAGGCCAGCCGTCCCTAATGACCGAACATCACATCATTTGGACGGATGTCTCACGTGCAGAACACGGACCAATCGAAGACACGCGCTGATTGGTCAAAATGCCAGCCAATCCGGATCGAACACCTTTTACTCGACGCTTCTCGCCCCCCTCACAGAGATTCTGGAACGACCTTGTGGAGCACCCCTCACAGAGATTCTGGAACGACCTTGTGGAGCACCCTGTGATTACCCTATAAATACAGCTGTAATAATTTTCCTTTGTCTCCATAAAGGGCTGTGTAGAGCTACCGTGCCTTTTGATATACCATAGTGGGCGGAGCAGGAAGCCAAGGGACAGATACAGAGTTGCACTACCGTACATCAAGACACAACAGTGGGTCATACGGAAGAGCTGCACTGGCCAACAAAAACTCATAGAATTAGGAGGGAGTTGCGTGTCGGAGGTAATTTCGGTAGCCAATCATAGTAAGAAATAAGGGACGAAACCGCGGTCGTATTAGAGAATTTATACTGGCCACATGTCTGCGATGAAACGTACGCCCATGCATGATATAATATAGCTAGACAGGCGAGAAAAACAATCTCTTCATAGGGTAACGTGAATGGTCACTCACCTTAAGGTATAGAGTGTTTACCATTTCCATGAACAATGGAAGACAAATGTGAAGAATGCCTGACAGGAGATGGGATATCGTGGTGAATCCGGGCACACCGGGACCCAACGAATCTGTGCAAGAAGGAACAAAGTAAATTATGGCGCGAGATGGCCCAAGTGGTTAGAGCGAGATTTTACTGACCGGAAGGTCCGTGGTTCGAACCCGACCTCTGACTCTCGACTTCCCCTGTCTAGGTTTGGGCAACCAGACAGTATCCCAGCCCTCGTGCAGCCTTCGGGTGGCATGGCAATTAGGCACTGGAAGGGTGCCACAGATGAACGACTTTTTTCGCGGAGCACACAAAACAGAGTTTAAGAGAAAACGTGATGAGCCTATTGTTGGAATTCAAAGTGTACCGTGGGTAGTGGGGAGATCTTGAAGTCCCAAAGCTAGTCAAGTCAACAGATTCTTTAGAGCTGAGAGGCATCTGTCACCCTGTGAGCTTGCCACTCGATGGAACTCGTCGTTTCAGGTTGAGATATACGTAATGGCAAACGCAGGCATGGGATTTTAGTTTCGGATTCCGTCAATTGGCGAGTCCTCATCGTGCGTGGCATTCGTTCCTGCAGCATCGTTTAAGGCATTCCGGTTGCTCCATCGCCTCTACAGATCAGCGTCATATTCAAGCAGTTCATAAGTGTGACTTACCTGGCGTTGTGTCAAATGGTACTGTTGTACGCTATTCTAAGCAGCGACACAATGTCGCTCTCCATTCGATGTAGAGATTGTGGTATTCAAACTAGGAGGCGCATTATCTTTTTCGTTTATCCCAATCATTCCGACATGTCTGGAATATGGCAGACTGCTGATACACATCCTTCGCTGAACCCTACAGTGGAAGATGTGACCAACACCTTCGTGTTTGTGGGCTAAAATGAACCAGATTCTAATAAAGCCGAGATCTATGTCATTGTAAATGGACGATAAAGTTATACGACAACAAAACAATTACACTTAATAAACAAAACCACCAGGCGTCATTCAGCTAATTTCGGCAAATCAACCTAGAGTCGTATGAAATGCCACTATTCCAGCAAACTGACGACAGCTGCACGTCTCGGCACGGGCAACGTAGGCTGTGGTGTGATTCAAGCATTGCAGGATTGAGGTAAGAACAACTTTAGTCAGTTCTGTTGGGTCGGTCAATAGAAGCATCCATGAGTCAATTGACTCATGCACACTCAAGTCCGGTATGCGTTCAATTCAGGCTATGGTACCCTGTAGGCTACAGACGATTGGATCAAGTCTGTTTCTTTTAGTATGTAAAACAATAAGCTAACAGAAGCATCAGTTTAAACAAGAGATGATGATATGTACACCTGCTGTGTCAGACAAGAAAACAAAAAGAAATCTCGTTCTTTAGGTGTAGTTCTCATTCTAACCAGTTGTATACCTGTTTACAAGTAATCAACATCTGGTAAATAATCGGAACCTTGATAGTTAGTGGACTTCCCGGAAGACCTCATAATTAACTTATGATATAACTAACCGTTTGTAGTATCGGAGCACCGTCGAAGCCAAACTGCCTCTGATGAACTGCTTAAAGCTAACAAACAGGTTTGAGCTGACCAATTTCACTCTTTGAGTCGACTGTGCGTGTACTCACCACTGAGAGAGATCAGAAGGCATTCGCAAGCCTTTACTAGGTAGCTTTTCAGACTGGATCTAGTCGACGCCACGAAGCAATGCTTAGGAAGGCTGTAATATCCGATGAACGCTGACGTAGCTTGAAAATTTTCGGATCAAAGGAGTCACGCGAGTCCACAACGCTGTGTAGATTATTAGGTACAGCCATGCACTCTAAAAGAGAACCGTTTGCTCTCCATCACATGGAGGGTGAAAGTGTTTTGGAGAAGGCTGCATCATAGCCATCAAAACCAGAACCGTTGGCAAATGCCAAGTTCCTGCACCCGAGCCTTGATGCCAGACCGCCCCTTACAAATTTCTCGACTAATAAAACTAATATGTGAGAGGAACCGATTCATTATCAGAACTGAGCTTTCCCACCAGTGATGCAACTATCGTATTCACCCCATAACTAAGCGACCCAAGTCACATCGATATCAGTGAGGAAAAATGAGGTAAGCTTTTAACATTGGATGGTGATGGCGAAAACAAAGCCGATGGTAACCCTGGAGTGATATTCAATGATAAGTATTGGTCAGGCATACAGTTGTAACTGAAGAATTATTAGCCACCCTGGAACTGAGGATCAGCAAAATTAGGACCACTCACTGAAGTGAACATGCCATTTTGCAGCATCTGTCTGCGGGATGAACATTTACACTTCAGGTTTGAATCCAAACAGAATTTGAGATGGCATCACAATGCTCTACGATACTGTGAGGTCAACCAAACTTGCGCTTTATTAAAAAAAGAAGCCAAACGGAAAAGGAAAGTAAAGGGTAGGACACGGCTAAATTTATTTGATTTAGATTCAAGATGGAGCACACGAGACACGTGCTAGGAACTCTGGTCATAACTGCGACCTTGAAAACGTAGGTTGAATGAGACCGACGCAACAGCCGCAGTGCATGTCATCATCATCATCATCATCATCATCATCACCGACAGCATGACATCAGTGTTCAACACCGATGCTT